CACACACACACACACACACACACACACACACACACAGAGAGAGAGAGAGAGAGAGAGAGAGAGAGAGAGAGAGAGAGAGAGAGAGAGAGAGGCAAAGGAAGTCTGATGACAAAATTTGGAGTCCGAAAAGCAACTGCTGCCGCAGGTTTCTACAAGTGGTTGAAGTCCTCTTGTGATGTTGGTATGAGCCGAACGTCCCCCTTGCGGGAACTACACTAAGCGAAACAAACAGGGACAATGTCTAAATCCGAACCAAAGTCACAATGCTATCTCCGCATCTGTGGCGGTAGTAACCGTGGGTTGGCTCACATGAGAGCACTTTCTCATCATTCATTGTAGTTTCAGTTGATGACTTATCCCTCTCATTTGTACTCTCACATGCGCATGGACCAGGTCCAGGTGATGTCCCTGGTCCGCAATGCAAACCAGGTTCATTCATTCTAACTTAACTGAGAATATGAGCCAGCCTTTTCCATCGTTGCTTCTTGTTCATACACTCCAAGCCCACCTTCATCCCTTCACAACCATCCTGTAATCCGATAACCATCCGTCTTCTGGCACAAGTCATTTCATCTGCATATTCCCCTCTGCCCTTCACCAGTGAGTAAATATAGGACTTCTTCCAAAATGTCTAAATGCCCCAATGAAACACATGACTCCGTTCATGTGTGACTGCTCCTCTTTTCTCCCTAAACAGAAAAAAAAAAACAAAAAAAAACTACATACCACTGCCAAACATGGTGTCATCCAGTGTACGACGACCGAAGCGCCTGCCGCTCAGCTCCCTGCTGCTGCATGAGAGATGCTCACCAAAATCTTCGCCCACTAGCTGCCATGCTTACGACAAAGAAAAATCACACATGGCTGAGCAAAGCACAAGCTCCTCTCTTCTCATTTGCTCTTTCTCCAAAGGGATTCATTCGACCCTTGGCATTATTTTCGCCAAACCTTCGCACCGATTGGTGTATGTGTACCATGCACAATCTCTTTCGCTTTTGCTCACATAGTTCCACATAACCACACGACCACAATATCGTCTGGGTAGTCCGTACACTTGCAACTTTGCTATCGCTATCGATGGTTTCGGGGAATAAACCATCAACTGAACTTGGTACCAATCAAGGGCGTGGAGCACCAACAATGACGTCGTCATCCCCCCTACATCAGTCCCACTTCAGTCCCGTACGTACACAATCTTTTGTGGGTCTCTGGTGAATGACACAGTACCAAGATTATCGTCATTTTCGCTCTGTGGGTAGAAGATAACAAAGGTAGACCTCCCTTCCTCCAACCCACTTCCCTCTCCCTCCCTCACCCACACTCCCAACCCTTACCCACCCCCTTCCCCCGGTCCTTTCCTCCCCTTTCTCGCCAAGAGTACGTGGAGCCCATTGAAGACCTTTGAACAGAATCCTGACTAAGTGCAAAAAAGGAATAAATTGAATCAAAATGAATTCTGATCATCTTCAATCAGTCATTCACAGGGACATCTCCTATCCACCAACGCTGTGGTAGCTTCTCTCTCTCTCTCTCTCTCTCTCTCTCTCTCTCTCTCTCTCTCTCTCTCTCTCTCTCTC